CTGATTGCGGTCGAGTGGACTAGACTGGATCATGCAACAAACTGTGAGGAGCGAGAAGAGGGGCATACGATGGCTGGACCGCTGAAAAGACCTTAGAAGATTTGGATTTCGCCGCCAATGATGATTTATGTCTAATTTCTTGTCGCACAAACTCGAAGATCTACAGGCAAAATCCAACAAGTTGACAGAAGAGGCAGGGCAGCAAAAACAGGACTTCAAGTGGATGTAGAGAAGACAGAGGTGATGAAGATACCCAACCAACAACATTAAATAGCACCAATCACCATGAACGGGAGAAACCTTAAGGAAGTAGTCTCTTCCACCTACCTAGGCAGGGTAGCATCGTTTCACCTACAGGCGGCACAGATGACGATTTCAAAGCCAGGATCGGAAAGACGGAAACACAGGCCTTCACTAACCTGAAATCAGTGTGGAGATCCACTACACTCAGCTCAGCATAAAGCGTGAACAACATCCGGATTTTCAACACTAATGTCAGTCAAGTCAGTGCTTCTTTGTAATGGTTGAGAGACTTGGCGCGTTACGAAAAGCATTTTCAACAGACTGCAAACATACCTCATCAACAGCTGCCACCTACGCTCACTCAATACTGAAGATGAGATGGTCAGAAAGAATAAGCAACAAGGAATTCTGGTTGGCTGGCAACGAACCAACCAAGAACCTATTGCCCAACAAATATGCAGAAGAAAGTGAAGATGGATTGGGCATGCGCTGAGAAGGCCCACTGGGGACATCACGCGCCAGGCCCTGGAGTGGAATCCAAATAGGAAACGATGAGTTGGGTTTCCGAGGGTGACATGGAGGAGATCGTGTGAAGAAATGAAAGCTTGTGGGGAGTCGTGGCACCAGGTTGAAAAGACTGCAGAGAAGAGAGTGCAATGGAGGCGTGCTACTGAAGCATTTTGTCCCACTAGGAACCCAAGGGACAAATAATAATAATAATTTGAAACTCAACAAAAACCAAAAAATTAGTGTTTTGCCGGATATTAGGTTTATTTATTTCTAGAGGTCATACTGAACCCCTGGAAAATTCTAGGAGAGATTCCAAAAATGGTCATCACGTATACGGTAGACTAACAAATATAAAACAGGAATGTTGTAGAGTACGATGTCAACATTTTCACGATTTTTCACAAGTAATAACTAGTTAGATATGATTTAGGATAGTTTCAAGCGAAAACCATGTTTCATCTGATGCATCCAGGCATGTCCTGTAACTTGAGTCTTCAAATCAGGCATGAACAAAGTAAGATGTGCACATTTTAATTCATTGGGTTTTTCATAAAATTCAGTCAGCCTTAAATCCCATAATGTTTCATGTAAAGGTATGGCTCAAAATTCCCAACACACCAGTAGATCAAGTAATAGAGACAAGATAATAGTAAAATAATCAAAATGAGGGTTTATGTACATTTATTACACAATAACAGCTGCTGGATTTAGCAAGAATGAAGTATAGAACAATTAGTTCACTTTGCAGGGAACAGTGACCGCTTATCAAATGAAACTCCTCCGTATGAACGTTATTACCAGACAGAAAATTCGATTTATTGAAACCGACTAAACCGCAATTCACACATCTTTATAGTTCGTCGAAAGTACACAAAGCCAACAACCCGTTACTTCCTATTATGTCAATCTACAAATTCGCTGATGCATAAGCTCGCCTAGTGGCTAGTGAAACTATTGGATCCCATTAAGAAGCAATTCTGTGAGTATTCCTTAAAAGATACATTTGAAGTAATCATATGCCTTGATGATGTTAACATAAAAAGTAAATTTATGTGTTCCTTTGACGTTAACTCACTATTCACTGATGTCCCTTTGGTCAAGACAATTGACATCTTGTATGATTATATTTCTATGCATAATTTTTCAGTACCCGTTTCTCTGTATCATTTAAAAGAGCTGCTACATTTATGTACAAGTAATATTAAATTCACATTCGAGAGTGAGCATTTCCGTCAGGTTGATGGTGCTGGCATGAGTATCCTTTTAGCAGTCATATTTATGTCACACAGGAAACTTAGTGGAGAACTTAATGAGCAAGCCCATGTATACCGAAGATATGTCGATGATATCCTAATTATTTGTGACAGTTCAAATCAGTCCACTCCAATTATAAACCGACTGGATGAATGGCACAGCAACATATCATAAACATGTGTAGAACAGGACGATGACTCCTTACCTTTCTTCGGGGTATTAATTAGTCAGCGGCAGGATAGATCCATAAAACCATCTGTCTACAGAAAACCTACACGGACAGGGCGACATTTGAACTATCATAGCTTTTGTCCAGTTTAGTACAAGCCAGTGTTAGTTAGGTGCTTATTCAGTAGAGTTCAACGATTATGTACAGATGATACTTTGGAAGAGGACAGCAGAACTATCCATCAAAATCTACTAGGCAGCACAAAATAACCAGAGTGCTAAAACCAGCTCTTCACTTTGTCCCAAAGAAAGATGTCTTTATCAGTCTTCCATACAAAGGTGACTCTCATAGCGCAGTCCTTAACCAGAGGATTAACTTTGCTGTTATAAAGGACTTACTATGTAGTTACAATAAAATTAATAGAAACCACTAAGCTCGTATACTCTTCCAAAGCCTTACAGCATGTGAACAACAGTGTCACACATTGATATGATTACGAGCAATAATTTTTGCTCGAAACGTCACCAAGCAAATAATGCTATATCACTGTGTTATAAACCAAATAAATAAATCTAATATGGAATTAAATTCTACCACAGTGCCCAAGTTCTACACCTATATTAATGTCACATCCCAGTGCATCTACCAATTTCAAATATGCGTGTGGTGACACACAGAGAGAACTCCTAGAATCATGCAAGTAAGGTCCTCGGAGCAAATTCAATCATCTGAACACATAAACGTTGGTAGTAGACGTCCAAGTTCTTCGATCGCAAAACATATCGTTGAGACAGCTTACGGGATTGATGTGGCTACTTCCTTGAGACCTATTTACAAAACGTGTTGAAGGTGTAACATTTAAATTTGTTCAGACCGTAGTTATTAGGAAGTTTAAACCACCTTCGTGTGTTCAAAAACAACTTGCTATCACATTAAATCTCGCTTGGTGAATTCAACTCGGAAACCAAGTTAGATGTACTACTATTTTCTCTCTATTGATTCTCATTGACATTTAGGACTTTATTCAGCCTTCCTACTTGACCCCTTTTCCTATTCTCGCCCCTTATTTTTATGAATTTTCATATAAATACCTATTACAAGTACGCGTGGGATCATAATGTTCTAAGTGTATTATAAATATGTTTGTAATAAATTCATTCCCTCCACAATGTACGGATGTTTCACGGATGTAACGTTCGAAATGTGTTGCACAACTATATAACACGGTTCAGACAATTTACTTCTTATTGTTTTGTTGAAGAATGAAATAGTTACGTAGCAAACTCATGTATTGTAAGGTTAAGAATAAATTTAAATCAATGGGTGAGAATCATAAGGAAATACGAAGAAAACTGAATGGAGATTACGCAGCGAAGTTAAAGCCCAGTTACCAGGGTAATGACAGTTGCATTACCTTTCTGTACATAGATGTCAGGATGTAAGCGTTTAAATCGCAATCAATTCCAAACAAACAAAGTAAACCGACTATTCTATGCTGTTGACAGTATCGAAAGCCTTATTGACCTCGACCGCATGCACTTTATCCACCAGGTATCTGGCTGTTGCGCTTAAAAAATTTCCTTTCATTCAGGATGCAGACTTTCTTCAAAAAATCTAATAATCACCTTCCGCTTAGACCCTTAGATGTGCTTACCCTCGCAAGTCCATGTAAATTTGTAAATGCAGTTGGGAATGATGTGATCAGGGTACTTGTCTACCTGCGTTTCTTTGGGCTTTTTTCGTAATTCGTGCTAACATCTTGTCACCTTTGAATGGAACGTGGATGACAACAGAATTCTCCCAAGAAGTTTAAGGTTTGGATTTGCTTTCTCCAATTTACCGTACCTTATAGTGAAATTCCTCGGGTATCAATTTTTTAAAGATTATTTTCGATGATAGTGAATTCTTTATTACACGTCTTTTGAGAACAACATCCTTCTTCGACCAAAAACTGTCTTGACCAGACTCCACTTGTAACTGGTGGGATAAAAACTACGATAGTTCAAGTATTGACTGGTTGATGCCTCTTTTCTGTGGATATGTTCACCAGTTGTGTCATCGTTTCCTTGTCTAGGCAGTCAAACTGGTTATCACGTCCATAGTTCATAGCAAATCTAACGTTTATTTGAGCTTCATTGAAGTTATTGCTGATGATGTTGTCTAGAAAGACAATGAAAGCTTCAAGATAAAACCACCCGGCTCAGAGAAAAAACACAACCAAAGTTTAAGACAATTGAGAAGCATGATTCGCATTACTGCAAACACCAAACGTAACATCAACATACCATGGGCAATATCTAGTCATATAGGTCTCTTGTTTTATTTGTATTTCTTGAAGGTAAAGCAGGAAGATACAAACGATGGTTGAAAGTAACAGTATACCATTACTACTTCATTAGTTTGCTAGTATAGCTAACTTTCAAACTGTAATTGAAAAACTTTTTGTGTAAAGAAGCAATGGTTGTCTCAATCCAATCTCTAGCAGACGGATTGTTGACACGCCATTTCGATTGTCTCATCTACAGATATGCACGTAAACAATAAACAAGCCTAATATGATACCAAGAGTTTATCTGAGATATCCATATGATCCGGTTCATGGAAGGGTTGAAATGAGTCTTTGAAAATATGAACTGACCTTTGACTGAAACAGTTAAAGTATGCAGAATATACATATTTGTTGATAATGATAACTTCTGCAATCTTAGTTTGTTCTGAGCTGATGAGAAGCCATAAAATAAAGTAGATAGCTTGCTGAAAACAATAAGCAGTCAGTTTAACTTCAAATATGGCAGCAGAAGCAACAACAACAAACAAATCTCACCTTCAATGCATGAGCTTTATCTGACCCTGTGACTATAAATACCACTTTTGCTGCTTTGTTAATTACAGGTACAGTTAGGGTGACTCTTTGAGGCGGTGGCTTGGGACTATCTGAAATTGGTGCTACGACATAATCTTCATACTATTTAAAGTAAATTAGAAAAAAAGTTTGAGAGAGTAAATATTTGAAAACACCATCAATATTTATCCAAAAAAACTTAATGCAGTACTTATACTCTATCTAGACGAAGAAGATGAATATCAATGATCACAAGTTGCACATCACATTTCAGGAATATTCTGACAAAAAAATATTGCATACATACACTGCATTTCAGTAACTTTACGAGAGAAACCTGTCAAACGCCTATCAATGACTAACAAAAATAGACATCCAATAAAGACAACTTTAAAAAACTTTTGAGCAGTAACAGAAGGGTGTACGAATTATAAGCGGTAATCGTTAGTGAAAACTGCTACGTTATGTTGACGATACGAGGATGAATTCAAACTACTGAACAGACATGATGAAATAGAAAAGAGGTGTTCCACACGGGTGACCAGCACTGGCACTCTGATGCTACCTTTCCAATACCAAAAAAAAGTCAGAAAAGGTTGATCCCGAAATAGCACACTCCTAAGTGCATTGAGGTATTCCGGTAACAAGGGTACAGATTTACCCCATCGGGCGTTAGAATAATCAAATCTTAAATCAACCAGACGTCCCTCAGGCTTCATGGTCATATAAATCCTCCTACAGAAACAACTCTCACAATGTAACCAGCTGGAAAGAACCAACCATCATCCAATCCACACACTGACTGTACTATACCAAACCCAGTCAAATCTAAACTACTCTCCTAACACTCATCTCATCATTTACCTTCACTTCTCTTACCAATATTACGCCTCTTACAACTTACACTCTCACCCTGCGACCCTTGCCAACGATCCCAGTCAGCAAATCACCCTTCTTAGGCTCTTAATACCTCGCTATCCATTTCACATTGGAGCTTCCAACATCCGAATCCTATGCCAAATCGGACAACAAACACTTCCAGCCAGAAACTGTCGAATCTGGAGACATGGATGTATGTTATGTGTCCGAGATATATACACAGTACCCGACCTGAATGTGGTTATTCACTTCACCTTAACTCACTCACCTGGTCAATATGGTGAATCTGCTAACTTCGCTTGAAGGGTGTTCAGAGATTCAATGGCTAGCTCTCGTGAACTCCCTGGCGTACAAATAGGATTAAATTGTAGAGCAAGAAGTGCACTTCTTGACTGGATTCTGGTCAGAAACCGTCTTTCTGCTGTTCAAATTAGTGGATCTGTAAGAACTGGCAACGACCTTGAGAATTTCCCATGCCTATTCATACTCTCCGACTACGCAACCACCATCGGCATTCCGCATAATGCAAAGGATAAACTGTATCAAAAGCTGCAAATCTCGCTACACAAAGTAAAACGTTCAGGTGTGATCACAGTAGTAGGCGGCTTTAACGTTGAAGTAGGGGGGTTGGACCAGTCGGAAAGGCATTTTGCAGACATCAACGATATCACATTCTAAGGAATTGACTACAGTGATCGTCTCTATCCATTTTGTTCTAAAAGCACTTGTTTATAAATAGCAATAGCTTCAAAAATCAGGAGAGGCAGTCACACTGCGTCCGCTGATATAAACAAACGATCGATGTAGCTAGATCATATTGCTATAAACCATGGTTCGAGAGGATCAGTGGAGGACTAGCCCTATTTTTGACGAACCTGTTTGAACTGTAATCACGCGTTAGCAGAGGTACGTGTATTTTTGAACTTTAGTGGTAGCAGGAAACAGCAGACAGTGAACCCTTTGCGCAGTTGAATGCAAGATGAGAACGTCAAGTGCGTATTGAGGGAATAGACAGTAAGGATTAGTTCGAATGTGACTGCGATTCTCATCCTGATGAAGCCCGGAGTAATGTTCAGTCTGTTGCACAAACGGTGATCAAGACACTTGGTAACCTACATCCAAAGGTTATCAAAAGTGAGTGAACTGCTACCTCCTACGAACTGAATGGTGCTACATGACTCATTTCAGCTAACTGACCACAATAAGGAGTGAGAGCTCCGACAGATAGCTGCTATCATGATGTGGTGGTCCACCCTTGCATAACACAATGACCCAAAGAGCTGTGCTTGTGAAATGCTTATTCTCTCGAGGTTCTGCCATGCCTAAAAGGTGTGTTGTATATTGCTAAAACAGAAAGTAGTTACCATTGTTGTGTAAATTGATATGCGATGAAATAGGTCTGAGGGCAATGTTGTACTGCTGTTAGCTGGAGGGGCGTGTAACAGCAGTAAGGTGTTTGCCTTGGGTGGCCATCAATGCCATGCTGATGCTGCCTTCTTAACGGGGAGAGGTTAGAAAAGATCGGCGCCAAAATAACACTCCACCTAGCCCCACGGTCTTCCGGTGGTGAAGGGATGGCTCCTCTCTATCTGGCGTTAGAAAAACCAAACCTCAAAACGACAGCCCAAAAAAGTTCGTATGTGACAGGCCTCAAGCAGATGTCCCATGGACTCTGTGGTCATACAAATCATTTTCTGTTTCAGGTACCTTAAGAAGAAATAGTCATCCATAGTGTGAGCAGTCAGGAGGTGTCAACCGCCCACACGCTTCCAGTAGTACAAAAGACCCAATCAAATATAACCTATCCTTCTCAACATTGTCTCCTTCTTTACCTTCACTTCCTGATACTAACGTTATCAGGCCCTTTACGTCCCACCTAACCTCTCACTCTGTAACCATTGCCAACGATCGAAGCTATCGAAACCTCATTCCCAGTATCCTAAGGCGCTGCCAAGGATTTCATGTAGGATCTTTCAACGTACGAACTCTATGCCGAACCTCACAGCAAGCATCGCTCGCCAAAACTCCGGAATTTTTAACCATAGATGTTTGCTATGTCTCTGAGACACATATACAGGACCCGAGGTGTGGTTATTAAATTTGAACTGACTTAGCCGTATAGTGAATCTTCAAAGTTCACCTCACAAGTATCAGGAGACCAAATGACTAGCCCTCATGGACTCACCGGTGTAGGCGAAGCATTCCAATTATAGAGCGGAAATTGTGCTTCTCGACTGGATACCAGTAGAAAACCACCTGTGATCTGTTTGACTAAATGGATCTGTTAGGACTAGGAAGGACCGTGAGACCAACCGATGCATATTCGTAATCTCCCGACTGTAGTTCGGATGATGCAAAGGATGAACTCTATGCAAAGCTGTCAACTTTCTAAAAAAAGTAAAACCTTTAGATATATTCATAATGGCAAGTGACTTCAACGCTCAAGTAGTAAAGCACAGTCAATCGGTAAGACATCTTGGTGGTATTTACGGAATCCCATGTCAACGAACTAACAATGGTGATCGTCTGTTGGAATTCTGTTCCGACAATCAAGGGTTTTTGTTCAGCACTAACTTCATCAAGCATTAGGAGAGACATTGTCTCACATGGCATCCACCGACATCAAACCAACGACGGACGCAGATAGATCACATTGCTATAAGCCAGGCATCGTTGGAATGAATCGATAGAGGATTGCCGTTCTTTATGAGGTATTAGTTTGGACTCTGATCACGCGTTTGTGTACGAATGCACCTTACTGGTCGTAAGAAACAGGCGATAGTAAAGCCTATCTATGGTCGATTGGAAGATGAGAACGTCAAGTCCGCATTTAGGGAACAGATTACTAAGCATTTACCTGAACATGACAGCGATCCTCATCATGAAATAACCTGGAGTGGCATGATATTCAGTCTGCTGTAGACACAGCGGTAAAGACAATTGATAAACTACACATGAAGGTTAGCAAACGTCATTGGATTTCTGCAACGTCATCCGAAATGATTGATTCCAGCGGGCTCTGACCACCATGACGAGATCCCATTATGAACAGCGAAAGCGACTTACGCGTAAGTTGACCAAGAGTCTTCGCGTCGACCTCCAGCGACAGAAGTGCAGAAGGTGTCAGTGGTGAGTAACAGTAGGCAACTATTCAGGCTGAATAAGGATACTGTCAACAAGAAGACGATGGTGAGTGAAACCATCACCGAAAAGGAAGGGTCGCTGATAACTTCCCTGACTAGAACGTTGAACAGAACACTTTAAAGCATAGTTTAACTGCCCCTCAAAAACAATTCAGTTGCCCAACATCCAGTCTCGATCTGAATGGCATGTAGATGTCGGTTCTCCATCTCTCCTTGAAGTTGAGAAAGCTGTATCAAATCTGAAACGACACAAAGCAGTAGGACCTGATAGTTTGCCACCCAAAGTTTTCAAGGATGGAGGTAGGAAATTGCTAGTTAAAGTGACGGAGGTACTAAGTAGTGTAGTGTATGTGAATCAGAGGTAGTATAGTCAGAATGGTCTACTTCTCTGACAATCCCAGTCTACAAGAAGGGAAAGAAGTCCTTCGGTGACAACGATAGAGGAATTATTTTGATTAATACTGTGTCCAAGACCCTAGGATCCATAGTTATCCAAAGCCTAAGTTGCGCTGGAGGACAGCAAACTCAAGAAAACCAGGCGGGTTTTACTGCCTGGTAATTGTGTATCAGTCAAGTTTTCACTCTACGTCAGTTTATGGAACTTATGCGTACTTACCGGTGGCAGACACATGTATTATTCCTTGGTAAGACTTTGTCGACCGATTGATGTTGTGATATTATCTGACTATGAAGGGATTACCGATCAAGAATCCAGCACTAATCAAAGCTACCTACTTAACATCAGCAGGTATGTGAGTTCTTATGGAGTTATCATCTGAATTAACAACAACTAGTATTAACCGTCAGGGACACCCACTGACACTAGTCGTCTTACTTCGCTACAGATATCATAATGGACATAACCTTATATACCGCTGATTTCACAGAGACGCCCAAAAGAGCATCTGCTTTTCATGGTGTATGAAGACAACACAACCCTGTTAGGCGGAAATAGTGACAAAATGCAGTTTTTTGAATGCCATCAGCAGAATCCTGAGGATTTTTGACTGGCATACGTTTCACGGATGTCCATTTCAAGATGGCGCTTTACGACTGGTCTGTAGTTACTTCCTATTTGACCCGATCGACAGCATACCAAGCAGCAAAACACTAAAGTGGAAGATAAAGAAGTAAAGAATAAAACAGTAGGAATTGGTAGAAAGTACCAAAAGGACAGAAAAGAAGAATGAGGGGATACTGAAGCTCAGTATGATCATTAAGATGAAGATAATAAGTGGACATATCTGAGCCATATCACGCCTAGTCTCCAACCACTGGTTTATATTGTCACGTCAGCCTTAACAGAGAAATTTAAATTCCCCTGCATCACGCAGGTCAACAGCCAAAGACTTCATCCACTGATGCTGTGTTTTATTCCGACCACCTCTAACGTTCACCTAACCGCAGCCTACTTCAGATAGCAATGAGTGACAAGGCAGACCGTGACTAGGCATGCATAACACACGTCTCGGGCAGCTGAGTCGATGAAGGTTCACAACAACACCGACTGACTATCATCTTCTCCCTCAACTTTACACGTGACTCGCAACTTATTGATGTGGTGACACCACGATACGCGGCCTATGCTACGAAGGCATTGCTGGTCGAACACCTGGAGCCTTCTCATGTCCTTTACTTTTAATGGCCATGTTTCACAGCCATAACGGAGAAAAGAGTAAGCTGATGTGCGGAGAACTCGACTATCAACAGACAATCGGATATCACAATGGCGTCGTAAGTGGCGTAGTTTGGGGAATTCGGAGAAAGCCGTTTGTTTCTGTGCAAAGATTTCGTCGTTCAGTGGGCTACTAGGGCTGATCCCACTTCTTAAATAAGTTAAGTGGGCAACGCACTCAACCATTTCACTTCCTACTCTTAAATGTGGCACCACAGAAGGCCAGTCCTGGAGCAACAATTTACATTTCTGAGGGGAGAAACATATCCCAAACATTCTCAAATTGCTCCTCAATGTGTTCAATAAACTGCATTTTGTCACCTTCACCTAACATACTCCAGATCAGCCGAAGATACTGCTGGGATCAGACCAATCACTATAAATTTAGATGAGGAGACCTCCATAAGCATGTCAATGATAAAGTTGAATAAGAATGGGGAGTGTATATGTTTGGCGGACACTCGACATACACATTTCATCTGATGACTTACCCTAGGCTCTAACACGAACACGTCTTCGGGTACAGTCTTAGTTCAACAGAGCGATGTACTTGTTCGGCGCCGTTTCAGTTAGAGAAACTTCCATGAGACCTCCCAGTTGGGAGAGTCCGATGCCACCATTTAGGTCCAGAAATATAGCTTGGGTCAGGTATCGATAGGTGTGTTTGTTTCAGAATCTGGTGGGTTGTGAATATCTGGCCGACACACTCATGACCGGGTCAGAAAGCTGTCTTCTTTTATCTGGATTGCTAATCACGAGCTCCACTTACACCTCTGATAATCACAGAGACTGCTGCTGAGATCCACAGTCGCCTTTTAACAACTTTTAAGGGTCAACTACATTCTTCAACGCTGTTTATCCAGCAGATTGGACATGATATTAGGCTTTTTCCGGATGAGTGGTGCTATTTTGTCCCAATAACTATCTAATCAGTTTCTCACTGAAAATATCCTTAGTATTCTTATAGACAACCTGCGCTAGCAATAGCCTTACTGCCACCGTATCCCCACGTCCATTCAAGCACAGACATACATGCGTTCAAATCAACGCGTGGTCTCTGTTAGGACGTGTGCAACAGGAGTGGCAATCTTCCACTGACCCTCTCTCTAGCGATAACTGATAGTAATATGATCTTTTTGCGTCCATCACTGTGTAGAGCCTGGTGGATGTCACATCAGACTATGTCTCCCTTTATGTCTGAAATTCGTGCTGGCCAGAAATATATGGTTGTCTGGCCGACCGATAGCTGCTACCCTGATGTGGTGGTCGGGCTTGCATATCACAACTATTCGGGTGACACTAGTTCCCTCGTGGTCCTACTATACCAGAAAGGTCTGTTGGATGGTGGTTAGACAAAAAGCAGTTGCTACTGTGGTGTAAATTACTACACTATGATGGGAGTCTGAGGGCGAAGTCGTACTGCTGCTAGCTGGATAGGGTATGACAGCAGTAAGGTGTTTCCATTGGATAACCAGCAGTGCCATGTTGATGCTGCCTTCTCAGTAGAAAAGCGGTTAGAAAAGGTCGGTTTCAAAAAAAAAACACTCCACCATACCCCACGGTCTGCCGGGCCGGTAGTGTTGGTTCATTTTTCGTTTTTTTCGACCATCTGGTCAAAGCAACCATACACAAAAGGCTGCATGTGACAGACCTCAGGCAGATGTCCGATGGGCTCTGTGGTCACACAAATCTTTTCCAGGTGCCTTAAGAATAAATACCCTTCCCACGGTGTGGGCAGCTGGGAAGTGTCAACCGCCCTCACAACTCTGTCAGCACTTAAGTTTCTTCAGGCTACTATCCACCTCCCTCATCGTTGCCTTCAAATCTTCTTTCAAGTCTCCCAACTAACAATCCTACATTATCTTTAATTTCTCCTAGCTCTGCAGCCTTCGATAACGATCTGAATCCACAGAACAGCATCCCTGGTCTCCTTAAACTACGCTACAAATTGCATATCGAGGCCTTCAATGTCCGCACCCTCCGTCAAATTAGTCAACAGACTTCATTGGTCAACGACTTCAGCAACTCGAGGTAAGGATGTATGTTTGTGAGACTAGCATACAGGACCCAAGTGCAGTTATTCACTTAACCTCTCCTGGCCAACCTGATGAATCCGCAAAGTTCACCCTTCGAATTTCTGGAGATTCGATGGCTATAGCTCTCGCGGTCTTGCAGGTGTAGGCATAGCATTAAGCACCAGAGCCAGAGCAGAAACCTTGCGACTAGACTGGGTGCCAGTTGATAGTCACCTCTGCGCTGTCCAGTTGATCGGCACAGTAAGAACTAAAAGAAATAGTGAAACTCACCTTTCTCTATTTGTAATCTCTGCTTACGCACCAACTGACTGCAGCTCGGATGCAGTGAAGGAAGAGTTCTACCGTAAACTTTCTAGCCTCCTCTCGAAAGCCAAATATTCAGGCATGGTGGTTGTTGCAGATGATTTAAATGCACAGGTGGGTAGACTGAGTGAGGCAGAAAGGCACTTAAGTGGTACTTTCGGACTCCAGGGTGAACGAACAGATGATAGCAATCGCCTACTACAACTGTGCTCAGATAACTGCTTATTTTTAGTTAGCGCAAATTTCAGACATAAAAAAGACACTCTTATGTGGTATCTACCAAGCTCAACTCAGCGATGGACACAGATAGACCACATTGCTATCAGTCATCGTTGGAGAGGATCGGTGGAAGACTGTTGCTCCTTCTAGAGTACGTGTTTGAATAGCGACCACGTGTCGGTCCGAGTGCATATTTGCCTGCGTCTCAATGGACGTAAGAAAAAGGTCGAGAGAGGTCAAGAAAGATTGAAAGTTTAAGATTTTGAAGATTGGTTATGGTCTGAGTGAACGTGAGTGCTGACAGAGTTATAACGGTGGTTGATTACAGCTGACCATACCGTGGAAGGCTACTTCCCCTTGGGGTACCTGATAAAGAAGTGTTAGTGCAAGACAACAGAGCTCAGGGGACATCTGCTTGAGGTCGGTCACATAGGACCTTTTAAGAATTTTTATCGAATCCGACTATGAACCCATAACGCCAGCATTGGTATGCCACAAAGTAGAACGCGGCCAACCTTGTGGAATCACACTCCTTCACATAGGGAAGGCAGCATTAGCATGCAAATGCTAGTCATCCAAGAGAAACAACTCATTGCTATCACAACCTTATCCAGCCAGCAGTACGACTTCTCCCTCCAACCACCATAATATTGTAGCAATTCACACTATAATAGTGGGTGATTTTTGTCCTACCACTATTAAAATGACCTTTCTGGTACAGTCGAGGGGACAAGTATTCTACCAGCGTAGCTCGTTAGGTCATTGTGACATGCAAGCTCGATCATCCCATCAAGGTAGGAGCTGTCGGTATGATATGTGGTGACTTGGACCATTATGCAGTAATGGTAGGTCCTATGTTGACACAGTATGTATGAATTACAGTTTAAGGATTTTTAAGTGGTGGAATGCATTGATGACTCCATTTTTTCGGAGAGTTGCATCGGTCCAAATTGGTTGGCTGCTGACGAAAGTCCATTTAGAATATATGAGGCCTATTTGGCATTTGCTGAATTGCGTTATCTATGGCACCGATCGATTGTTTGAAAGTCTAGTGCCCAAATCAATGAGTCACATCTCTATGATTTATTGTATGGATGCTTTAAAAATACGTCAATAAACCAAAGGTCTGTAGAAAATGATGTAGTCATCGCAATTCAGTGGGTAGCATGTAGGTGTTATACAAAATGGGCTGACTATGAGTCTCAATGGGTACACCAACATCCATAGAGATGTTTATAATATTAATCAAACGACAAGTTTCACAGAGGGCTAAAGTGTTCCCCAAAACTACTATACTAAATATCGCCACGGTAACATCATTATTAAAGTAGAGTAAACATGGAAATAAGTAGTTCATATAGGACAAAAAAAATTGAAATCGACTTACATAGAGTAATTTGTGATTAGGAAATAAAGAGCATGTATGACCATCTGGACCCATACCAAGAAGTAGTAAATCGAAACGGGGATAACCATTATCCGAACCAAAAAAAGACAAGATCTGCTTTTGATAATCAGCAGCAGATTCTTCTACTATACATTTATTGTTAGTAATTATCCTTCAAAAAAACAGGCTACCTTACACGATAACGATGTATTTACAATATGAATATTTGACGGTGGTATACCAATTTTTGAGTAGACTAATTCTTGATAACTATGATGATTTGAGTCAACACTGTCCAATGGAACCAATCTTTCATCGCAATAAAAAAAATGAACTAAGCTCCAATTGATTTTTGAAATAGAACACAAATATGGAGCAAGTAGTTGAGGCATACTTCCACCTTATTTAAAAAGGAGAAAAATTACTAAGAAAAAGGCTAGATTACACATTACCAGATAGACCAATGGTAATAATCCGATTTTGTTCAGTTGATTGTAAAAGTAATGCCTTAATCACATCAAATGCACGTTCTCCTACATCCGATTTACCATCTCTGATATCCAGAATCATGTGAGACTAGATGGTATCGAAAAGGAAATTACAAGTTACTTTTTATCGTTTAAAAGACTCACTTGGTTTAAAAACACAAAAATAACTCAAGTAAAAATAGATAAATGATATAACAGACTACCCATTAAAAATTTATCCATACAATACAGTGAATCACACATTTCGTATCAGTTGAGGACATAATCTGATCTCCAGAACAGAAACACGAAAAGCAGAGTTTAAACTTATAACCCAACAGTTTACGGCTTCCATTAATTAAAGTCTGCTTGAATTAGTGCACTTGACCTAAGTATGCATCAAAAAGGGTCACAGGTGACATTGTAGTTATTTGGTTATTTTATAAGTACAATAGAGCATGTGAAGTGGTTATGTCATTTCGGTTAGTATATAGACATGAACTTTTTCGTTATTGATTTGTTGCAATAAAGTAGAAATGAATGGTAGTAATGATCATCAGCATCATCGTCATAATAATAATATTAATAATAATAGTGAATAAAAAATCAATCCATGTCGTGCATCGTTGGTGATGTAGAGAAAACGAAGAGGAGGCTGGTGATGAACGTAAATGCTCGAGTCGCTCTTTTGGCTTACTAATCAGCAATCTCAAGAAGGGTAGGGGAGCATAAACTGTTCAAAGTAGATTCCAAAATCCTCAACAGAGGTTAATAAGCTAAAAATACAAGTCGGCAATTGCTTTACACCCGATAAAAATGAACCAGAAAATTGACTTTGACGGAACCAAGGTTCTACAAAAAGGATTTGAGTCAAACCAAAAAAGATAGACAGTTAAGGACCTATATATGTGGGCAAATTCAGATAGCTTGAACAGACGAGATGGAGTAGTTATCTGCCTTTTAGGAATCGCTAACTAGTAAGCCAAAAGAGCGACTCGAGCATTTACGTTCATCACCAGCCTCCTCTTCGTTTTCTCTACATCACCAACGATGCACGACATGGATTGATTTTTTATTCACTATTATTATTAATATTATTATTATGACGATGATGCTGATGATCATTACTACCATTCATTTCTACTTTATTGCAACAAATCAATAACGAAAAAGTTCATGTCTATATACTAACCGAAATGATATAACCACTTCACATGCTCTATTGTACTTATAAAATAACCAAATAACTACAATGTCACCTGTGACCCTTTTTGATGCATATTTACTTTGAAGAAGAATAGTAATAACAATACACCATACAACAAGAGTCACACAATTTCACACTGAATGATCAGCAATCATATTTCAGAAAAACGATGGCAGTGCGAGGAGGCTAAGTAAACGTCTTTGAATTCATTTTTATGTATGCTTGATATTTTGATGTCTGATTATTTTCTCGAAGAAGCTCAGATGACGCTTCTTGGTCATGGGCATATTCGAAGGAAGTGTCTTCGCAAACTTGAGGAAGCTAGAAATGTATCTAATGTCTTGGTGTTACCGCGGTTTCAAACGTGACAGATACCAGGTATTCTTAGATCAACTGAACTCTATTTCCCCCAGTATCAAGTTTAGCTTAGAAGAGGAAACGGACAATGAAGAACTACCCCTCGTTGATTGTCATGTTAAATGGAAAGAAAGTGGACACTTAGGTATGAACATTTTTAGAAAAGCAACGCATTCAGCTAAATGTTAAGTTTTCAATTCATCACCTTCCATCAAAGAAAAGTTCATTGTTGCCTGCAGTCTTAAGCGGAGCACATACTCTAATAACAGGTGAAAATGAGAGTGAAGGAATTACAATATGTGAACAAGATTCTTAGAATTAATAATTATCCGATGAAATTCATTCGCGAAATAGAAAATTGAATTAGATTGTTATATTACTTCTAAATCATGGGCCACAACAATAGTTATCCCACATAGAACCCTCAGCTCGGATGAGATTAGGAGTGCTCAACAAGTGCAATATCAGAGTGTTCCACAGAAAATTAAACACATTTCAGAACATCTCAGTCCATGCGGAGGACAGAATCCCTCAGGATTCACACCCTAATTGTGTTCATAAAATAAAATGCGTCGACTTCGAAGTCATATACATCGAAAAACTCCACATGAAAGCAAAATTAGAAAAAGTGAACACTAAAGTGCTTCCACCTAACCCCCTAAAAATCTAGTGGAACTCAAAAGAACGGAGAACAATCCACACATAATTTGGTTGCTTGTGGCTAGCAGAAGAGTCCAGGACGCGCCTTTCTTCCTATTTGGGACCCGCCAGCTGGATGTACCTGCACTCCAGTGATGTTGTTCCCACTGAGACTCGAATCTCGTACCCATCGCTCCAAACGCCAAGGCGTTATCCACTATGCCACAGAGGAACGATAGCCACTTCTTGTACAACGGGTGATAGTACTATTTATTGACACTTGTTATTCTCCGTTGTTTTGTTGGATCGAATCACCCGTTGTACAAGAAGTGGCTATCATTCCTCTGTGGCATAGTGGTTAACGCCTTGGCGTTTGAAGCAGTGGGTGCGAGGTTCGAGTCTCATTGGGAACAACATCACTGGGGTGCAGGTACGTCCAGCTGACGAGTCCCAAGTGGGACGAAACGCGCGTCCTGGATTCTTCTGCTAGCCACAACCAACCAAATCACCATAATTGACTTCCAGGCAATATCGAGGCATCCGCATAGGAGCCCATATGCCAAAAGAGGTCAAACAATTCAATCCAACAAAACAACGGAGAATAACAAGTATGTCAATAAATAACCTCGTCTACTGATTTACTTCTGCTCCTTAAAACTCTACACCTGACTTCTGCGTTACTCATGTGGTGGCACCACGGAATACAGCCTATACTACGAGGGCAACGGTGGTCAAACACTTGAAGCCTTCTCATATCTTCCACTTTCAATGGTTTCAACCCACCTTCACATACTGATATAACCAATACACAAGCGATACGAACTATCAGGACATGTGCACATATAAATTTCAATGTAATCTACACACTTATAACACACACACATGAACACCACTTCTTTTCAACAATTTGATTATGCAGAATCATCCGTCCGGAACTACTATCGTCATCATATATAAGTTTATATATTGTAAATTCCTGTTTACTATAATTGATAAACCTATTAGCATTAAGTGGTGAAACGTCAGTTAAAACAAGTCTATTTAGTTTTACATTCCTTGGGAAATAGAAATACCAAAGTAATGTATTTCCAATGTCAGTCTAATCCATAAGCCTATTGAATGTAGTATCGACTATGGTAAGCGGAAAAGCGTTCTGGCCTACGTACTTGAGTGGATTTATAGTAAATACAACGGATATGAGCTAAATGAAAACCAGTAGCTAGACAAGTTTCTTATGATAAACTTTTAGATACACTCATTCCTTTATGTGAATAAATGCTTGAAAATGCCACGGCAGCCGCCCCTGCTGTATGCTTATTAAATGTTCTATAGACTGATTCGTGGCAACGACGATTCGGTGGAGCTTTAATCTATTAGCGAATACACAGATACAATGAACGTAGAAACTAGTACAGAAGTGCATTGATTCTAGTCGGAAACTTTTCAGCAGAATGTAAAGAACAAGGAAGTGAAAAAGGAGTGACATGAAAGTACGTGAGAGTATATGAGAAGGAAACAATTTGGAAATGTTCAAACTCTACAAGACATCAAAAGTGAATCCACTTTAACACCAGGAGTCGCCAACCATTTATTCGTATTATCTCGAGGACCCCAGCCAAGAAATCTATACCTCCTTCTGCTGCTCAGACCAATAGTCAAAGACTCTATGGAATGGTGCTACCTTTTCATCTGGAAACAGCCTTTTCTTAACTCAGTCCTACTTTGGCCAACAAATGATGTACTTACGATTCTTAAAATCAACAAATTAGCGGACACAGGAAAGCGTCGTCTGGAAATAACTCAGTACACCTTTCTGGTACTCAAATAAGTGCCACTCTTACAGGATTCTTCAGTATGAGTAATAACTTCAAATTTTTTAGTTGTAGCGGTCGTAGTAGGCAACTTCACTTCTCAATGAAAACGACCTACGGAATAAATTGGGTAAAGCTACGAAAGCGTTTCAGTATGACCTGAGAGATGGACTGAATAAACATAGGAGTAGGAATCGAGCACCAAAATGTACTTCTGTTACATTTGACAGATATAAAGTGTGAATGTTTTTTGGAGAATGTAAACCATAAGGAATAGGGACGTGATACCAAGATAAATTTAATTCCTAAAACTTCCAAACGCAGTAAGACAAACCTTGTCTCGAGAGTTGCAACTGAAAAACAATGATTCGGCATAATACATTTTGTGACTACTTCTAATGCCATCCAAAATAAGGCAAAACTAGAAATGAGGAGAAAATCAAGATTCTGTACGTACCTAACTCCAAAAAATATGACACAGTATATTAACCCTGACTAACAAATGGATTTTTACATGAGAATTATTGTGGTATTTCCTCATAAGAAGAATGCGAGAAGACTAACTCGCTTTAAACGTTCAGCATATAACAGATTAGAAAGGCTAATCATCAGCTACTTACAGACCCTTGAAACACACACAAGCATGATGAATTAGCCACTTGTATGCACAAATCTTAGTGAGGTCTTACGTATGTTCGATGGGTTCTCCAAAATCATCCTATTAAAAACATTGAAATAGCAGATGAAATCATACACACACGGTCGTAACAATCAATGATGCAGCCATAATCAGATGATATAGTTAGAATCAAATCAATAAAGTCAATTATTTAAAGAGAAACTAAAAGTAAAATGCATAAGATCTCCCAAGTCTAGCAGAAGGGTAGCGACTAAACCGTAACACGCGGTCAAACCGCACCAACAAAATGTTCACGGTATATGTCTTTAGTTTTAAGGATAAAAGAGCGGTTATTCTGTACCAAATCTTGCATAAGAGATCTGTATGAAGCTTCAGAACCTCATCTGGTTAAACAGTCGGTCAGATCATTCTAATACCATTGGATTTTCTTTTCTTGTACTGAGAGTGCCTATATACCAGTCCTGCAAAACCATCATGAATTTGACACATGAAAAACATGAATGGCGACGGCAGACATCGATGAGAAAAACCATTAGAAGTCGTCGATTCACATGACAACATAGAACCACGCATAGAAGCGCATTTCTTCATGTTGCCACAATTCACAGTAGTATACAAAGAACAGGTGGATAGAAAAAGACTGATATCAAGGTAGATAGAGTTGTGTGAGAGAATAAAATCTGAAGATGAAGGTTGGTGCAGATATTACAGCCTTAGATATTAGGGAGTGAATACATCTGCACCCTTGTGATCGATTTTCAACCATTTCACCAAGAGTCCTCAACCACTGATTCCTATCGACTCCCAGACCACGTCTGAAACCTGACTGGTTTTCTCAGGTTTACTGTTCTCGAGATCCAGTTAGGCATCCGATAACTATGAATCCTACGATCTTGGACACAATATTAGTCAAACTAACTCCTCCATGGTTGCCACAAGAAGACCTCTCCACCTTCTTATAAACTCGGATGGTCAGTGAAGTACACCAGTTAGTCGATACTACCTATGATTCCCACAC